TATTAAGGATATGATGTGGAATATGGAAAAAAAATCACGCGAATGCGTTATGAACACACTGGATTAACTTCTTCGTGATCACCAGCATGCATTGCGCTGTTACTGTGTCGGCATAGTTAAGCTTGGAAAGCAATGATATCATACTTGTAAACAATTGGAAAGTATTAACGTTTCCCAGAAATGAATCCGTACGTCTAAACCGAGAAACTGGCGTATCTGATATAAAACTTGTAATCTGTAGAAACAATTTCTTACAGTGCCTACCACATGTTTTTCGAATCTCAATTCACTGTCCATCAAAATACCTAAGTTTCGCGTCTCACATCTCTCTCAGCTCTATGCAATCGCTCCCAATAACTACTATTGGGTTACGTTCTTTAATGGTACGTATCTGGGCCTTCGAACCTAGAACAAGGAATTTAGATTTCACTGGGTTCAAAAACAAGCAATTACGGTCCGATCACCTCTCTATTCTATCCAGATTCTCATTAAACTTGAGTGCCGCTCCAGACTTGAACGAAATGTACACCTGCAGATCGTCAGCGTAAAGATGGTATTTACAATTATCTATACAATTGGTAACATCCGCGCGCAAGGAGCGCTGTAGCCTCCGAGGCAAGATGCTGTTAGTGTTTAAATATTCAGTGAGCTGTGAACTCACGGCCTTTTCAATTATTTTCGACATGAACGGTAGGATGACGATAGGTCGGAGGTCCTTTAGATTGGTAGGATTACTTGGCTTCTTTCCAAATGTTGAAAGACACCTGATTGTAGTGGTTGGTTGATAATATTTGTAATGACCCTTAACGTTCGCGGTGAAGTAGGCAAAATCATGTGCAGAAAAAAACCATCAATACCCTGTGCGTTAGTAGAAAATTTTGAATTATTTTGGACACTGTCAATTTACTAATTGGCTTTAATCTAAACATGTTAGAGCTGCATCGATGAGTTTCAAAGTGCATTAGTGTAGATAAACTGACGCTAGTTTTTCCATGGATCTTAAGGAAATGCTCTTTGAGCTGCAGATTGGATATACATGATGGAAGATCTAACGATTTTTCATTGAAACCTATTGCATTGCTTTTAATATTTTTCCAGCGTGTACGTGGATTCGTTATATATTTATTAACATGATATTTGAAGTAGGCTGATTTTTTACTGTATAAAGTGGCAGTCACTATACCTCTTAAATCTCAGTAATATTTTTTGTCACTTTTTAGTTTAGTAATACGATTTTTAACATGTATCATATATCACGCAGTCTCATAATCTCTTGAATGGTTTTAGTGATCCAAGGGTAATTGTGATCTCTAATGTAGATGGTTCTAGAGGGAGCGTGTACGTTAAATAAGTGTAGTACATACGCATTAAGTGAATTTACAGAATCATTCACGTTTTCGCACATGAGACGATAAGGCGGACCATGGTTTTTATCCATAGTATCTTTTTACTCCGACATCATTTAATTTAGTTGTTTTTTAAGCAATTGTTTTGATCACGTCGAGTTTACCAATACGGCGGGTGTTATGCCGATTAGATTCTCGAGAATATTTATTGTTGAGATATTTACAATAATAGCTGAGAAGACATACGTAATAAAAAAGTGAATAAATCGTCAATGTGACAATAGTGGAGTAACTTCATAAAAATGAATGAATATCAAGTCAGTACAAATTTAGTGACAACAGTATTTTTTTATAATATGAAGTGACGGGACGAACAAGTCGTGCACCTGATGGTAAGCTAGACGCCTGTCTATAACAGTTGGAGTGCTATTCAGTGCTTTGAATCGCAAAGATCTGAGGGGCACTGCCACTGCGCCCATCATTCACCCTGAAACATAAGTTGAGAAGTCCCATGTGCCTATAATGTCACCAGCATCCTTAGGTACCCTTCGAAACGCAGTAATGCTAACATTACTGCTTGGCGGCAGAAATAGGTAAGGTAGTAGTACTTCCCTGAACGAATTCTTTGACAAGGAGCTCTACTGTTACGAAAATGTTGTGCGCTGCTCATAGTGCGATGCCACAACCTCACTAAAGATTTTGTGTTTGTGAGTCTACTGACTGTGATCCAGGACAATCGTCGATTTCAGGTACATCTTTATCATGGAAAAAGCAGGTGGCGATACCAGAAGAATGGGCTTCCCCGAGAAAATGTCCTGGCTTCGGCACTTTTCAACAGATTCACTGACCCAGCGGTTGCTCTATGCTCTGTGTGTAAGTCATCCACTTCGCGCTATCAGCTCAAACTGACTCCTTTGAAGATGCTGAAGAGAGCCAGCCGGCTGCTCTAGACGTACGTACTTGCAATTTGTTACAAGAACAACACCCTTCGACCTAATCCCTCTAAGACCCTCCTCTTCCTCCATCGGTCCCTCGCTGCTGAGGACCGTGACTTTGAGCAAGTACACTGTCAATCAATCTTTTCCACTGTTCTCTGTCTTTGGCTAGGTGGAGTGCGACGCTCACGGGTACTGCCAGACTTTCAGCTTCCTACCTGGTTACACCACTGTTCCGAACTCACCTCTAGGTCGTTTGCCCTCTACCTCCACCGGCACGACTATCAAGCCGTAAGAGCTTCCTTCGACATACCACCGCTATAGACAAGCAAACTCTGGCAAGCCAAAGTCGCTGTTTCTCTTGAATGTATCATGCCAGATGCAAGCAAAGAGAATATTGAACAAGAGCGTCGAGCACTGTCTGTGAGAGCCATGTTAGCTCGCAGGTTCGCGAACTGTTCTATTGTTGCTAAAATCACACTGATCAAAACTTAATCTGCGATCTCTTACACAAGCTGCCTGTGGGTTAATTTCAGTCAGACAGCTCTGCTCTGCGACCACACAACAATTCATTCAGGATCAGTTCGCGGAGGCACGTGTCCATTGCTCCTACTGCTTCAGGCGCGCAGAGTTCCGCCGCCAATATCTTGTACAACATGGTAGCGGACCGACTTGACTGTCCGTATGTGAATCACCATTCTGTGATCCACGTACGTAAACATACATAGTAATTATTTTCGTCCACTCAACGGAGAGGACAAAAATGTACACAAACATTACGTGTACTCTACTGCATAGAAACGACAGTTTGTGTACTACGTGTACACACGCTAACATTAGGGTATTTAAGTGTAACTGTTACAACACTAAATATCTACAATTTTATTTATATTATTATTTATAAAACACAAGCTTTGTAAAAACGAAAATCAAATCATCAAACATTTTCAAATTAATCTGAAATTACCTTTAAAATTTCTTTTTCACTCACTAGCTTGGAAAGGTTTTCTTTAATTAAATTTTTATTGAATTGATATTGAATTATTTTTTTGTGAAATTACTCCACTAGTTTGTTATAATTATTAATACAAAGATCGAACACTCAGAAAAAACACTTAGAAAAAACACTCAGAAAAAATTCCTTCGATCCGGTCGGATTCGAACCGACGTCTTCTTGCATACCGTGCCAGACGCTACACCAACTAAGCCACGGAACGAACCAACGGACCTCACGAATTTTTCTATGTGCTTGCGTCGTGTCTTTGTACTTGGTCTTTCAACGACTTTTTAGTCGTAGCGCCATCTATGAGAAATCTATTGCAGATTTATCACCCAGTTAGTACCTTTACAGCTACCAGTCCTGGCGAGAGATGTCGCTATTCACTGTATCTTAGCGCTTGCTCAGGTTTCAAAACAAGCACTCGTGTCAAACAACAATTTTGCAATTTTTTTCAAGTAAGGATTTAACAAATAACTATTTTCACCTCACTACCCCGGAAAGGATTTCTTTCTCATTAGAAATCTGCGCGTAAAAGCGTTTTTTCCACGCTAGGGTGGAAAAGGTTTCCGAAATTCGAATTTGACGATGGACTGTGATGCATCTAACTTTTTCTTTCGATGAAAAAACATAATGACACGTTCAACTACGCGATTAATCGTACATTATTTATGTAATATAAATCCTTTGGTTATTCTTATTATAGTTGACATTAAATTGACAACGATAACTAATTTTGTTCATTAAATTATTTTTTATTTATGAATGAATGAAGCTGACTTGTTATAGTTCAACTGTTTTTCTTTCATCTACCATATTCCTCGCTGTAGTGAGTTGTTTTGCGTCTCGTACCTTGAACCCCTCGTTACGCTCAGGAAAAATCCTGAACGTAGCGAGATCACTTCAAATTTATTAATTTTTGCTGTAGATATAAAAATATTTTTATATCTACAGCAAAAATTAATAATTTTGAAGTGATATTAGATTGGATTGTTTCTACATCAGTAGGTCCAATTGAAATTCATTAATACAAAGTATATATCATCCAGACAGTCATTAGTAATAAGCAAATTACGAAACCCAAACTAATATTATAAATGTACATTCGACTACTAACTGGTGTGAAGTCAACACACGTGCCGTTCTTTTGCAACCACTGGTGCCATCTGTGTTCACAGCAGCGAAGCAAAGGTTAGTACAGTGGGTGGTTTTGTAGTGAGAATTGTTTCTTTTGTAGAATATTACTGTGTGGACTATTCATTAGACCTTTGTATAGTTACCTTATCTACTTATTTGAAAGATGAAGCCGTATAACTTTATGTTAGGTAACAAACTTACTTTGAGCTCTTCTAAGCTTTAAAGCAATCGTAGGCACGTGGCGAGATATTGGAAGTGAAGAGGGACAAAGTTAGCGAGGGACCGAGGGACCCTTGCAACGAAGTTCGTGCCACGAAACACAGATGGCGCTAGCTAATTGCTAGCTAGGTAATGGTTAGCAGAGTGATAAAAATTTGTAAAATTGCACAGGTTTACTGCATTTCGTGTAATTTCTATATTTTTGTACAGTTTTCTGTACATCCAAATTATGATATAAAATTCTGATGATCAATAGTTTTATTATGATCAATAGTTGCTTAGAATTATTAAGATATAAGGAAAGGTAACGAAGTAAAACATGTGTAGGAAAATATTGCTTAAATATATTTTGTCATCTATTTTGTAACGTCGTATTTGGTATTTACAGAGTGGCCTTCTTTAGCCGGTTATCTCTTACGTAACATAAACAGCAGAGATTGTACACATTGTCATATCATACACACACACAAACACACATGCACAAATACACAAAGGCGTCGAGAAGCCGAGAAGAGACGATAATTTTATCGAATTCTGTAATTTTTTTTAACTCTATATGAAAATTTCATGGAACTATTCAACATTGATAACAATCTAATTTCATTCAAAATTGTTGTGCTTTTCACTGGACATAAAACAGAGATCCTTCGTTTTTGGCAATCGAACTGTCCGCCCCCTTAGTTGTGCCTCAGTTTCGTAGACAACTTGCATGTGCAACCATACACACTGTATATACAAGTTCTTTATAATATTTATTAATAAATTCGTCGCATCAGTTAACTTACCTACAGTTAAACTAAATAATATTTTCACTTACACGTACAGACCCGGCCGCAGCCGCGTACGATTTTGACAGGATAAGTTATCTATCATATCAGGTACTTATCACATTCAAGTGTTAGGTGTCGACTTTTTGGAGTAAGCGTTATTTAAAAGGCAGGCAAGAAAAATCGTCTTTCACTTGGTTTACAGAACGTCAAATTGTACCGCCAATGTCTTTTTGGTTTTATAATTACAAATCGAAAGAAAATACGCGTAGTCCAGCACTGTGCACGGCGGTGGCAAGTCACGGCGGGCGCTCTACCGCGAGTACCCTGAAATACACACGAGTACAAATATTATATTGTTATAAACACCTATTACACAATAAACCAATTAAATTATACAATATTTTGTATTAAAGCGATGGATTGACTCCATCCAGTACGACAATATCTAAGTGTATATTAAGAATGTTTTCGTGTTTTATGAGCGATGAGCTATGGAGTCGAAAATTATTCTTGAGTGAAGTCGAGTCGTTCGTCCGCTTCGAAAACAAGAACACTTTTAGAGCACGATACAAAATGTATATAGGTAGATAAGGTATAAGGCTCATGCAAACAAGCGCTGTCGCCGCGCGAAAACTGCGTTATTTACACAAGGAACACTAAAATCGTAACAGCTTAGTGGATAAGTACATAAACTCAAGGCGACAGAGAGCACATTAAGTAGTGAACGAGCTACACGTGACAGTCGCAGTGCAGAAAGACGGAGCGTTATGTACACAAAGGGAGAGAAGGGGATCGGCGAGCCTCGAAGCGAAGGGTGCGAGATAGAAGACATCGTGCTCCAGCTGCAGGTGAGGCGCAGAGACTCACATGTCGGTGGGGTGCGGGGGGGCGGGCGGCAGCATCAGTAGCGGAGCGGGCGGTGCCTCGACGGCCGCGAAGAGCGCGGGCAGAGCGCGGCCCTCCACTGCCAAGTACGCACATCCACACGTTACATCGGCCCTCACCTCCTGCCTCAGCTACCAGCGGCACTCACCCTGTAGAGACCCTCCGGGCCGCGCCACCCCGCTGCCGTGGGCTCCACCCATGCTCTTCGGTTTGCGCTTGCGCGTTTGGATGCCGTCCTTCTTCATGCTCAGCGGCCGGTTGACCTGCAATAGGCGTGGCGCCTGAAACCTCCGGCTAGGTTAGGTGATAACGATGACGTCGCCGTTCCGTTCGGGAAACTCCTCGTAATCGGCGGCATGCGCTCCTATCATCCTATAAACAAGCGTATCTACTCGTGGGGAGATAATTGATAAAAGATTATTTATCTCATTATGAATATTCGTGGTCGCGCGATGATAATTCTCTATCAGTCGGTAGCCCCGCGTTTATCTCGCGAGATTAGATGAGACCCTGTGTTTTGATTTTTTATACAGACCCAATATTTGCCGAGGAGTTCCCTGATAACTGCGATTAGATACCCGCGAGCATCCACCGGCCGACTCATCGCCATCGATACCGCACCGAGTCATGACATGTACGGGAAGGGGCTCACGTTGTGCAGCTTGAAGTAGAGGCCGCAGGCGTTGCACACGGGCTCGCCGTTGTTATTGCGCCGCCACAGTGTCGTGTTGGAGGTGCGGCAGTTGGCGCACATGACGCCCACGCGCCGGTTCCCGTTCGTCGGCTGCAATGAATTTCGGAGCATATATAGTATTCCAGATGTTAACTCTAAGCACAAACAGTTCCGTTGCATCATATATGTAAGTATGTATTAAAACGATTTTATTTACCAGTGCTTGTTGCGGTTTCGCCTTCTGCCCTTTAAGCGGGGGTCGGTTGACACCGTTGATCTTGGTGTAAAGGCCGCACGCGTTGCACAGGTAGTGGCCTGTTCCATCGCGGCGCCAAAGCGGCGTCGTGGCCGCCGCGCAGTTGACGCACTCCTTCACATCACCCATGCCAGCCATTGCGGGGTCGAAACCGTCGTCGACAGGTAACAGGTTGTGCGCGGACCACGCTTGCGTCGGCACCGGTGCGGCCGCGTAGCCCTCTACCAGCAGACCGGCCTCGTAGCCAGAGACTGGCACGTACTCAACGCCCGAGCCTTGGCCCACGTACTGCACAGCGCCGCCGTGCGAATACAGCGTCACTTGCTGGCCGGCGCCTGGACTGGCAGGCGCTTCGTAGACCTGCGCCGGAGCCGCAGCCGTGCCGTACACCACGTGGCTGACGGCACGGCCCGCCAGGGATGACGACGATAGCGTAGGGTCACTGCGGTACAGCAACTGCCCGGGAGGAGACTCGTCGCCGCGCGCACCGCCAGGCGCCCCTGGACCCCCTGCACCGCCCACGCCACCGTACAGCGTGAGCAGCTCCTTGCCGCCACTGTAGGCGCCGTAACCGCCGGCCGATGCCGACGCCGCACTGACGCCACCGTATTGTGGGCTAGCACTCGAGTAAGCGTACCCGCCATGCACTGACGTTACCGGCTGCAAGCTAGCGTAGGTGCCAGGTCGAGGTTCGTGCTCGCCGCGCGTCTCGTATTTGACTTGCTGGTATGCGACTCCGACCGCCTGTTGGTTTCCAAGCGCCGTGGTTTGGATCATCTCAAGTGCGGTGGCAGCAGCTGCCTGTTCGCCCAGGGCCGCCGCGTACTGCCGCGATTCCGCTTCACTGACGGCCGCGTATTGCAGCGCCTCCTGCTTGTCGCGGTTTGCCAAGTAGGCCTCCTGAGCGTGGTCGTCAACGTCGATGTCCTGCGCCACGATGACGTGATGGGGGGCGCCGTAGCGCAGCGCCAGCGTACGCGAGATCTGTGGCGGGCGGTCAAGGCGCTGCGGTGCTCGCGCGTACTGCGGCGGCGGCGCGCGCCGGTCCATGGGCGACGGCGCCGAGCGGTATGGCTCCTGCTTGAAGGCGAGGTATCGCGTCGTCTCGGCCTCGGCCATGCGCAGCCGCTCTTCGTCGTAGTGGTGCTGCGCTCGCTCAGCGTCTTCGAGCTTGGCCATGTACTGCTGCGGTTCGTCGATTGGCGGCGGCTCCGGAGGCTCGTCTTTCACTCCTTCCTCGGTCAGTTCGGTCTCCTCGGTAATGTGCCCTGCGGCAGTGATAGTACGAAGCGCGCGCCGCGATGTTATCACCGATTTGCCGTGCACCGGGTTCTCCTCTGGCCCCTGGGCATTGCCGGGTTCGGGCCCCGGCTCGATCTCATTCTCAACGCGTTCCTCAGTCTTCACCAACTGCAGAGCCTCGCCGTCGTCCGTCGGCGGGTGGTGCTCGTCGTGTCCGCCGCTCACTATTGACGACGATGCGTTCTCCATTTTGTTTTCTGCTAACAAAAATATACAGAGTATTCATTTGGAATAAAGGATTGATAGCACGATGAGGATAGTTGCGGTGCCGCGCGTTGTGATGAAAGCGGCAAAAGATGAGCAAACAGTCGCCCGCGCCGTGGCGCCGCCGGAAGAACGCGTTCGGAGGAAGTACAAATAGGGAAGAGGTCGTGAGGCGCCGGCGCACAAAGTTCTCTGTTTGCGACATGTTCATAAATGCAAGTGTCATTGACACCGACTAAACCTAAATACAAATTATATTTTTATTTAAGAGCCATTAAATGTTAGCAGGTTGAGTAAATTATGCACCTACAACAATTAAAAGTGTTTGTACCGAGCTAAAGCAATAAAAAGTATCTCGCGTGAACGGCGCGGTGTTTGTTCGTCAACACAAACACACACACACACACACACACACACACAC